CATCTGGCTTCCAGACACAGACAAATGCAGAGAAACAGCAAAGATAAATGTCCCAAAGCCTGGAATATTAGACAATGCAATAAAAAAACTCAACTTTCGCCTTTCAGAAGTCAAAGTGACACAATTTAGGAGGAAATAAGCTGGCATCCTGTCCCTCTGCTCTCTCTCCCTTTCCTGACTCCCAACCTCCCTTTTTTTATCTTTGCTTTTTCCATCTGGCTCATCTAGTTGAAATTTGAGTCTGAATTCATGTTCCTTTTAGGATTTAGTGGGATATTTTTGCATGGTAATTTGTTTGTCTGACATCACTGCAAGATTGTGAAATCACTAAACCATGGTTTCTCCTTGTTGCCACAATGAAAACATGTATTATAACAGTGCCCCATTACCCGTTTTGTGGTTACAGTACAACTCCCACTTATGGTCTCCATGACTTGGGAAAGAATTATGCATTGGCTGAATATCTTGCCAGATATAACAGCAAACCATATTTGGGAGTTTGTGGGGAGGGAAGCATCATACAAAACCAAACAGGACTAACAACTAAAAAATGCACTGTGCTTGCAAATTTTAATAAGCTCTTAATAGAGATGGACTTGAATCAAAACCTTGACTTCAACACAGCATGAAGTATGGTGGGAGTTGGGAGTCCAGGCCCATATCAGACATCATGTCAACATATCTCTCTGTAAAAGATTGAACCAAACCCAAAAATCTCAAGGTCCATCAGTTAAGAGGCTAGTCAGACATAGAGATCAAAATAGTGTAAACTTCATGAAAAAAGACTCCTTTGTTTAGAAGCATGTACAGACAAAGACAGTCAAGAAAATGAATGTATTGCAGTGGTGTTTTATTGCCTTTTCAGATGATTTCTGTGGAGTGTATTTTATGAGCTTTGGCCACATTTTCACATTACTGGTGAATAAAGCTCTCATTGTTCAAAGGGTGTCACCTGGTGACTCATGAATTTCTTTAAATGGTGCTTAAAAAACCTCTCATGTAAAATTGAGAGTGCTGCTCTGTATGTACCTATGGGCCTACAGAAAAATGAGCCACTTCTGAGCCTGATCAGTTCCTGGACTGGGGACTCAGACAATTTGAGATTGATAGACACAGGGAACAAGTGAAAATACAGCATCATCTCTGCTCCTCATGGAAAATAAATCTCCTTGATTTTGTATCACAAGTGCTGATTCTGTATTTCCAACTCAGGACTTCACTCTGGAAGTATGAGTTGAATTTAAAGTGAGTCTAAGTTATTTTTAAATGAATGTCTGCCTTCTCCCTCCTTGAGTCAATGCCAGTGCAGACATGCCTTGCACAGAGCTAAGAGATAGCAGGGAGGTCAAAAGGATGCTTAGCTGGGCAAACAGCTAAGCTAATTTTCTAGGTCAATCTGAATGAAGCAAGTCTTTCAAACCAATCTTCTCCAGAAGCCTCACAGTGGTGTGCTCAGGTCCTGTGTGTGCTGTGTGCCTGCAGCCCAGCCAGAACTCTCCTGTTGAGAGAAAACCCTTCCCAGGCAGGTGAGTGTCTATAATCTCTAGAGCTTCAGCTGGAGTTATTCTCAGAAAGTTGATCCTAATACAGAATCCCATCAAAGCACGTATAAACCAACTGTGGCTTTACTGGCATTCTTTTGATATTTCCATTGTACCACTGAACCTATGTATTGGCAAAACCATTAAAACAGCCCAAACAGTCTTAGCCCTCTCCAGAGTGTTTGTTCATCTTGACGATCAGATTTTGCTGTATCTAACCAAAACTGTGCCTAGTGCACCTGTGGCAGAATTACTTGTATGTAAGCCCTGGCATCTCTCTATTTTTCTTCCTCTGTCTTGATGTTTCATCATCTAATATTGTATGAGCATTTTATACAGTGTATAATCCTCTGATTAAAACTAGTTAAAGCAAGAGGAGTAGAGATCCATGTCAATAGCTACAAAAAGTGGTTGGTAAAGACATGTTCATAAAATGTTTTCAGCTCTTAAGGAATACCTTAACACTCAATATCAACAGCTGAGAAATGCACCCTACCAGGGGAAGCAAAGAATGGGCTGCTTTGGGAAAATCCAAATGCATGTGTGTAATTGAGATCTTGAGAGTGGGGTTTACACCTATTTATACCTGAGCATTCTAGGGGACAAATTACACTGGCTACTGTGACAGACTGTTACTAGAGAGAAGGCCTTTTCCTCCCCTCTCTAGGAGACCTTGCTGCATTTCCAGTTTGCATTGTACACATTTGCTGCTGTAGGGCTGCACTCTGGCAGATGGTTACTGCATGCCTGGAAGCACAAGTGAGGAACTGGAAAGGAGAATTTATCCTATCACAGAGAAAAAAAAAAAAAAAAAGCATCCTCTCTGGCAGCAGGGCCTGCTTGGAGAACTTGGCATTGAAGATCTTTTCCCTTTTCTGCAAAATACTGAAATATTAGGAGGAAAAAATGAGGGTGGGCAATCTCATTGTAATCCCTCTTTGCCTTAGAAACAGGAAGTCAGGAGACATATCTAAGTGGCTCCCCTGGAAGAGGGATAAGGTGGTGGGTACACTGACCATAAAGGCCTAATATAAATGTAGGTGCAGACATTCAGGATGAACAGATTTTCAGAGGCGCTGAGAACTCATAAAAGTTTTTGAAGCCATTGTGAGACTGCAGTACCTTTGGAAGTTCAGCATTATAAAACTGAGCCATGCCTTAATATACAGAACAAAAAATATGCAAAAATTCCCACTACATAACATGAAGTATTGAGCAATTTTAAATGCAACATACTAAAAAAAAGATGAAAATGAACACAGTGCACAGTAACTTAATTTACAATTCTTAGTGAACATATTGATATTTTTGTTCTAAACACTGCAACTCTAATTAGGACACCAAACTATGAGCAATTTACATCCAAATCAATGCATTGACCAGACAGCGAATCTCCAAATTACTTAACAACTGAAAGTTAGTGTATTTTTCCATGTAACCTTTCATACTATTAGGAGCAAACAGAGTCCTAGTTACTCATGTGTATGCAGCAACTAACCAGTCAATAGCTAAATATCCCTATAGGTCTGCCTATGCTCTATTACAACATGTCTGATTGATAATCCTGCAAAGCTTTTTTCGTTTAAAAGGGCAACCTGTTACTAGTTCCAAGAATTCCCTTTTTAAGGTGTGAAAATTGAGTGTTCTCTTAAAATTTAACTTTCCCCCTGTTGTGTACACTAGAGGCAGCTGAAATGAAATTTTAACCATTTTATTTCAAAGAAATCACAGGAAGCATCAGGTGGCAGTGAGCTTCCATGGCTGAAGATATGAGCTACATTTTTCATTAATGTAACTCTTGGCCCCAAATGCTGGAATGGAAACAACAGATTTCAAATCATTCTACAGAGAGTATAGGGGATTACACAGTGGTAACATGGGGAAATCAAAGCAAACTAACTCTTTATGCTGCTGAAATCCTGCTGCAGTTCAGCTACAGATTTCATTGTTCTGCCTAATGGGATTAAGGCACACAACAAAGGGCTCCATTCTCCTGTATTGCTGCCTTATTCCTTTAAGTGCTGCCCAATTTCAGAGCCAGGAAGATTCATGAAAGAGTACAAATACCAAATGACAAATATTTTCTGGTTTTTGATGACTGACTCTGAAGAAGCTTGACTTGGACACTTCGGCTAACAAGATGAAGTCATCTACTCTGGAAGTCAGTGCTCTGGGAAGCTTGCAGATGAGTCCTGGCTTGGCAGCATTCTCCTTTTAAGTTCCAGTTTGTGGATTTTTTTTTCACTCTCCTTACTTTAGGGTTCTGTGTGACTTCATTCAACCACAAAAACAATTCTGCTTTTTATTTACTAGCCAAGGAAATACTGGTGCTGTGCTTCAGGATGTTTGTGTACAGCCAAAACCAGCAGCTCCTTGGAAGCAGAGAGCCACAGGGGTCTCCTCCGGGGTCTGTGAAGTCTCAGTAGCCAGGGCCTATCTCATCACCACCTGCAAGGCAGCAGAGGAGGTCATGAGATCACAGGTTCAACCAAGTTTCCAGATCATCATGCAAGGCCATGGTGATAGGGCAGGGTCGAGGTAAAACCAGGAGGTCAATCCACAGGTCAGATTCAGTGAATGTCAGGCAGGTTCACAAAGACAGAGGAAAGCCAAAGTCAACATGGAAAGAGTTCCTGGAGCAGGGTTGACAGGCAAAGACGTATTCAAGGCTACAGATTAGAGCATTTATGAATCATAGATTTTAAAGATACAAAAAAACAGCCAATACTGCTTGAAAAGTTAATGTTGTATTTCATCCACACTGGTGTATCCAGCTTTCTCCATGGCATTGCTTGCGAGTCCTGGGTGAAGCTTTGCTGTGCTGGTCACAATGACAGCATGGGCCAAAGAGATGCTCCTGCCCCAGAGACCTCAAGCAGGGGCCAGTGATTTTATCTGCAGTTTCATGGGGCAGGTACAGGGCTACCAGTGCTCTGTTTTCCCTGAGAAGCCCAGCAGTGTATGTTACTGCCAGAGACAGAAAATTGCACTATCCAATTTAGCTGGGACATGTACAATCTCTTCAATGAAGAGATTGAGTCTATTAGATTCGTCTGTAGTTTTGTTCCAGCACTCAATTGTAAGGGGGTTAAGCTGGAGACAAACAGTGATTCAATTTTATGACCAGACTGAAAACACAAATAAATCTGCTGCTCCTGTGTGCTAACTGTCCTGTGTGCCCAAGGGCAGGATGCTTTAATTGGGTGTAATAGCTCCAGGTCTGGACTTATGTATGTGCACATCAAACACTCCTTTTAAACCATGAACAAGTGCTATTGAAATAATTACTGTATGAACATCACCATCTTTCTATATGGAAATGTGGAACATATGGCAAGCTCAACAGATTCCTATAGCCATCATCCAGATAACATTATTAAAAAAAAAAAAAAAAAAAAAAAAGCCATTTTATTTTTGGCATATTGGCTGAGAACACTTGGGAGGCTGAACTGGAGACTGCTGTCATATTTGTCATCCTGCTGATTGCCTAATGTAAAACACAGAAGGCCAGTGAAGTGTGAGAAAAGCAAGACATCGTAGAGGACCAAAGACTGAGCACTGGGAATAGGAAATTACAAGTGGTGACCTACAGTAAATATGAAACAAAAGTGCAGAAACCCAGCTTCTTGCTGCCAGGGCACAGGCTGTTGACTGGAACAAAGCTTCAGATTTCTCTGAGCTATTAGGAATTTACAGTGCTGTGGATGCCATGTCCTAAAAGTCCTGGAGGAAGAATATGGGCACTGCGATTGCCAACTGATTCATGAGGAGCAGCTGCAAAGAAAATGCCTCTTCCTGCCCTCCCAGATGGAGGAAAACTGTCATGCAAGGGCACCTACAAGGGAGGGTTGGACTTCAGCCTTCAAGCAGATTTGTTTAAGACCCCAGATGGGAAAAAACACTCCTCAAACATCCTGAATATCCTGTTCAAAGGAAAGGCCGACCGTCCTCCCTGTGAGAATTTTTCATGGTAATGTAGGGAAGAAAGACTCTGCTCTTCTAGACCAGGAGCTGGTGCCTGCATCTGCTGTTTCAAATGGCTGTGAGATAAAGCTTTTCTGAGAGGGAAAGTTTCCTCCTGTTCCAAAGGTGGGGAGAGGACTAGGAAAAGGAGCTGCAAGGAGGAGCTGAAGATGGAGAATCCCAGGTGAATGAATGTCCTTGAAAAAGCAGAGCAGACGCTTAAGCTGGATGCTTATTTATTTATTTATTTTAATGGACATTCTAGAATAAGATCATTCTTGATAAGTTTTGATATTTCTTAATATCACTTAGAAGTGCTTTCTGACAAATGAACTACAGGGAAATGCCTTTCTTGCTATGGAAACACCATGGTGATTTACATCAGCTTAAGGAGTTCTGCTTCTGCAAGTTCTTTGCAGCAATAAGGTAATTTTCTTGGTTATTTCTTTTAACAGGGAATTCTCCTGGTCCATAACACGGTCCTTCAGAAGTTGCCTTCCCTTTCCAGGATTTCTGTGTAGTCTGCTCAATATTCAATGGCAACATACAGGAAGCTGGGACAGAGATGGGACAGGAGACTTCAGTTTTGAAATGTGACTGGATTTTGTGCATTCAATTCAATTTCGGTTGCAAACAAAATGAAGAAGACTTATGAAGAGGGTCTTAATTTCTCTTTCTCAGGAGAGCCATGTGAGTAAGAGGAAGGAGTACGTGTATCTGTGTGAGAGAGAACATAGTAACTGCTATGGTAAGTGACGGGTGAAAGAGATTTATTCATTGTTAATTTGCCTTTCCTCTGTTTCATTGCCCATATAACGTGCAGTTTAAAAATATACACGCGCTAATTAGGAGACATTTTCTGGAAGGGAGTCACAGCTGCATGATGTGAAATTTCTGCAATCAGTGAAAAAATGTAAGGGGCTTGTTTACACAGTTCAGACATCCAACTTCAGCTATACTGCCACGAATGGCTGAACTTGTGATATTCCTTTCTTCCTTCATAGTTAAGTATTTCTTGAAGAACTTGTAATGCTTCCTGTAATACTACTCATTAGGCTGCTCTTGAAGTATGGTTTGTGTACACAAAAGCTTGACCATTTTTTGTTTGAATAAAACATGTTTTTACACATCCTCTGCAAAATTTTTTCTTGTCTTTAATATTTTCTCCCAGGGATATTGCCAGTGAAATTTCTAGAGCTCCTTTAGGTTTCCACAGGTTTTCACACCCTTAGATGAGGAATGATTTGTTTTCCACTGCCTCAAATCTGTCATTATTTTTGATGCATGCTTCATTCCTACCTTACAATACTTAAATCATCAAGAATATTTTAAGGAGTTCTCTAGTTGTTTATCTCTACCTTATTCATTATCAGCAATTTATCACCGTATGGTATCTTCTTCCCACTTCTAGATGTGTAAAAGCCACAAACAACTAGTATTATTTTAAGTGTACAATAAAGTCATATTACAGTGACAAACTGAATCATAGAACTGTTTATGGCATGTATTCATTATTGCATTATATATAATGTTAGTTTGTGCAATAAGGTATATTATGCAGCTGACTGTGTTCTGTGCAGCGACTGGGACTTGTAATCTAACAAAACCAGAAACACAGCTTCAGTGAACTGTATGAAAACCATACTTTCAATCTAATTTTTCCTTTCTGATGGCTGAATTTGTGAAATTGAGATCCTGCCACAAATGTCTTCATTATGAAGGGTGACCTTTTTCAAGATACCACATCCTGTGTGGTTAAATGGCTTATGCATTTATTAGCACCTTTAGATTCAGAGCCTGCCCACTTGGTGCTAGCAGAGGAATATTTTGCCTTCTCTGATGTTAGTGTGTGCTATAAAACATTCCAGAAAATTCCAGAAAACCTGTGAACAAAATGTATCATAGGCTTAAGACTCATGAACCTTAAATGGTTTGGAAAGCCTTCAGATAATGTTTGAGAAGAGCAGGTTTACACCTTACAAATATTGACTAGTTAAAAGACAAGGCTCAGCAAATAAGACTTGATAGAGTCAATTGAACACTTCTTATTATCTGTAGATTAAGTGCTGCTTCCCACTTTAAAGGGTTTTATTTTGCACCTACTGTCTTCTTCAAGAAGGTTCCTGACACTGTGTGGGATACTGGAGAGGAATTTCATTGCAGCAGGGAGATGATAATTTTTAGGCTGTCACAGGAAGCCTTGCTCTGGTGGGACAGAGATTAGGAACAAAGGATACAATAAACCTCCACAAACAGATCAGAAGCTGGTCTGGAAATCTGAAGGGCCACATTGAATTTCTTTACTTGAATTCCAAAGTTTACAGGAAGTAATTATAGTCTGAAGATGAAGATTTCATAAAGCTAGAGCAAAACTAAGCTCTGAAACAGATACATTTGAAGAATTGTGTGAGTTCTTAAAGCTATTTAAGAAACAGAAGGTGGATCTTAATATCCATATTTAAGGATTAATCATCTGCAGCTGGTGTGGAACATTCACAAGTGAGACTAAAAGTAAGCCCTCAGGACTTCTGGTGAGATGACACTGCAGTGACAACCCTGAGGTTTCCTGCTCTTTGGGGCCTCTGTAGATGGCACAGCCATACCAGCAGGACAGTCCTGTGTGTGTTGTGTAGAGGGTTCTGCCTTTTCTAGGACATTATGTGCTACTGATCTTTCCCAGATAGTTTTCACTGAGATGGTTTCCAAGATAGTAGCTCCTTTTTCTTTTGCCTAACAAGAGAAGCCAAAAGGTAATTGGTGTTTAGTAAATATAAATAGCACAACACAATTTAGCTGACTGTCAAAAATGCCCCCAACAAGAACAAAGCAGCAAACAAAACTCAGTAGACCAATGATTCCACAAAATATAAATATAGGCAGGGAAATATGTGCTAATACCACTGTGGTCACAAGAAAGCACAGGAGAACAGCATCTATAAAATTCCTCAGGCCTGGCCTAGTCACTAGATTTACCCTGATTTACACCATCTGAGTGCCCAGCCCATGGTATATAACTGTAGCTGCTGCTGCTAGTTTTGTGAGTGAAGATGAAATTCAGTTCAAGGTAATCAGGAGAAAACTTGTAAATGTCAGTTAAAAAAAAAATAAAAGAATTAGTAGAAATCAATGTAATTTTAGAAATAATGGAACTATTCTGCAAATATTAATATCTTCTTCATCTCTTTCCATTACCTTTTTACTGTGATGAAATCAGCTCTGTGAATTCTGCTTTGGTTCACCTTTTTGAAGACCATTTAGTTATTTTATACTCTGTACATGTACTCTGAAGTACATATGTACATGGACACTTTCATCCTTCTTGGGGTTATTATATGTGGAGTGTGTGTATAAAGGACATAAATATATTTTAGCTTGGATGGGAGTACAGTTTGCTGGCTAAAAAACTGGGTGAATGACTGGGCCAGAGTGTTGGTGCAGGAAATTAAATCTGGAACACAAGTCTGGTGCAGAGCAGCTGATGGAGCTGGGAGTGTTTAGCCTGGAGAAAAGGAGGTTCAGGGGTGACCTTACTGCTCTCCACAGCCTCCTGAAAGGAAGTTGTAGCCAGTTGAGGGTCACTCTCTTCTCCCAAGTAACAAGTGATAGGGCAAGAGAAAATGTTCTGAAGTTGTACCAGGGAAGGTTTATATTGGATGTTAGAAAATTTTTCACCAGAAAGGTTACAAATGTTGGGACAGGCTGCCCAGGGAAGTGGTGGAGCCAACTTCCTGGAGCTATTTAAAATATGTATAGATATGGACCAAGTCCCACAATGGTGGACTTGGCAGTCCTGGGATAATGGTTGGGCATGGCTACCTTAAAGTTCATTTCCATCCTGAATGATTCTGTAGTTCTGTGATTTTTTTACTTGTGACATTGCAGTATATTCTTCACCGGAAAAGAAAAGGTGACTGTAATGCCCCTAAAATCTGCTGCTCCTTGTAAATGCAGGTATGTGCTTGTAACTAAGCAAGACTCAGACCTGACTCACAGTGGATTTGCTGATGCCCAATAAAGGTTGAGTTAATTCTGTCTCCCCTCTTAGCCCACCTCTTTTTAAAAGCTTTTGGGAACTTTGTGTCAGTGAGATCTATCCAGTTCTGTTATGCTGACTATGAAACAAGGAATCTAAAATACACTGGGACAGAGGGAGCAGAAACACAGGCAGCATACATGGTTACACAAGGTTAAAAATGAGGTTGAAAATAATTTGCTGCTACAACAGTGTGTGACTTCTCAGCATCCCAGAGCCATGTTTTACACAACGGTGAGATCCTAGAAAAAGACAAGAATGAGATCCAAAAGGAGTTACAAAACCTCTCTGAGGTACTCGTGAGATAAGGCAAAAATTATCTAATGCCTGGAGAGCTTCTCTCTTCCTCCCCCTTCACATCTTGTTTTGAGTTTGCAGCAATTTTGAGAAAAATGAGTTTTTAACAAATCAAGTTATTTGAAAAAAAACATTTCAGGAACATAGTTCATATTGGCAGCAGGCTCTAAAACTCAAGTTAATAAATTTCCAAGTAGTAAAAGTAGAGTTTTGTTGAAGAATCCCAGTCATCTGATATGTAGGTGTGTAGAATATGATAGTTTGTTGGCTTTCCCTGCTCACAAACCATGTGTTTTAAGTAGAAAAAAAGAGAACTATTTATTCCTGGATGACTTTTGACAGTTGATCTGACAATAGAGTACTCTGATGACTTTGTACCAACCACATTTTGGTGACAAGATACACCGTATATGCTAGGGAAATACAATTTACTGTGTTACTGTTAGGTAAAAAAACCCTGCAGAAATATCACCCTTTAATTGCACTTAGTGTCAGGGCATGAGAGTAGCCCACAGTGGGCTTGCTAGGTTTCTTTTATGGGACATTCCCATTCCTCTTCTCTTTTGGTTTCCATGGTTCCAGAGGAATACTCTCTTAGTGTATTGTGCTGTGGGAAGCACTTTGACCTTGCTCATGTGAACTAATGTCTTTGGTTTTTGCTGTTATAAACTTTAAATGAAGCTTTTGCCCTTGGTCAGAGATCTAATATCTAGCATGGGTTGGATTGTGGCTGTTGGATTGACAAAAAGTAATTAAACTGTTTTTAATAGGCATCCTGCAATTCCATTTGGGTAGTTTCAAAATGAATATCCAATTTGGTAACAGCTCATTTTTCAGCATAATGCGCCATAGAATTGTAAATATTTTGGTTTGACCCTGGAGAAAAGGATGAGAATTATAGGTCAAAGTGTAAGTTCTGAGGCTGATTCTGCTGCTCATCTGCTTCCTAGATAAAGATGTGACAGCCATTGGACACGGTCCACCTCTTTTTTTTCACAGAATTATAAAATTGTTTGGGAAGGGACCTTAAAGACCATCCAGTTCCAATCCCATGCCATTGGCAGGGACACATTCCACTAGTCCAAGTTGCTCAGAGCCCCATCCAGCTTGGCCATGAACACTTCCAGGGGTGGGGCATCCACGTTTCTCAGGGAAACCTGTGGCAGTGACTCACCACCCTCACAGTAAAGTTTCTTCCATATGCCACGTAAATTTATCCTCTTCCAGTTTGAACCCATTACTCCTTGCCCTATCACTACAGCTCTTGTTTGCTTTTATCTGATGATGTCCTGCAGTTGTTGCTCATTTCCACTGCAGATTCAGGGAAGGACTGCTTTTCCTCCTTGAAATGTCCAGGGCTCCCATGTGGTCTGGTCAGACAGAGAATCAGATTTTCTTTCCAGAATTTAGTAGCCACATAGCATATCTGTAAAGGTTGATGTTTGTGGCTTCTTTTGCCAGATACAAATTGCAGTGAGTGTCATTAAAGGAAGAATGTTTAACTCTGAAGTGATAGAGCTGTGACAAAATTTCTGCACAGGCTGCCTGCAGATCCTGGAAGGCATTGTAACACCCACTATATTTGTTTTAATTGCCATGCTCTACTTAAAAATATATGAAAGACCAGCTGGGAATGACTCTTGCAGCTCTGCAGCTCTTGAAGCAAGACTCTGTAAGGGCAGGGTTAGCAATGCCTATGGTAATGTAGCCTGACCAGGAGCTGGTCCCTCCTCTCTTAGTTCACTTCAGGTTTTCAGTTTCCCATGGAATTTAATAGACTGACTTTCTTAGAATTTTTAAGATCTAAACTTAAAATTATTTATGTTATTACAATAGTTCACTGACTTGATGTGGCTGCTACAGCTTTATGCAAAGGGCAGGGTGATCTCAATGATACCTCTTTTAAAGTGATCAGCAATCCTTGATCTGTTCTACACTTACAATATGAATATTTAGGAACAGCTGCACAGAGACACAAATAAGGATTCTGAATAAGGATGCAGAACAAACTGAGCATCCACTATGTCTTTCAGCTGAGCAGTCTGCGGATAATTCAAGCCTTTACAGAGTGTCTTCTGCCTTGAATAAAGTGATTGCAAGGGGTCTTGATGTACTTCCCAAGTCCTGCTGGCCCCACTATTCCTGATATGAGCCCAAAGTGCCCAAAAGCCAATGGCATCCTGGCTCATATCAGGAATAGTGGCTCTTGTTCAGCTCCTGTTGACCACTATTTCCAGGTCCTGTTCCACCAAGCAGCTTTCCATCCACTCTTCCCCAAGCCTGGCATTTTGCCTAAAGTTGCTGTGACCCAAGTGTAGGACCTGGCACCTGGTCTTACTAATCTCATACCTTTAGCCTTAACCCATCAATCCAGCCCATCCAGATTCCCCTGCAGAACCTTCCTGAAGCAGACCAACATTCCTGCCAGCTTGGTGTCATCTACAAACTGACAGATGACCCTGACCCCCTTTTCCAGATTCTTGATACAGATATCAAACAGATATCAAACAGTACTGAGAGCTGGGGAAGCCCACCCATGACTGGCTGCCACCTGGATGTAAACTCCATTCCCCATCTCTGGGCCCAGCCCCACAGCCAGTGCCATGTCCAAGCTATGAGCAGCCACTTTCTCCAGGAGAATGCTGTGGGAAATAGCATCAAAGGCTTTACTAAACTCCTGGGAAACAAGAGCCAGAGCCTCTCCCTCATGTACTAAGTGGGTTATCTTATCATGGGAGGAGGTCATGTCTGTCAAACAGGCCTTACATGAGGTACTTAACTTACATTAAGTACCTCAGCCTCTTCCTCTCCTTTGTCACTGTGTTACCCTCCCGCAATCCAGTAAAGGCTGGAGATTGTCCTGAGCCCTCCTTTCATTCCTAATGTAATTATGGAAACATTTTTATTTGTCTTTTACAGCACTGGGTAAACTAACTTCCAGGCTTTGGCCTTTCTGATTTTCTCCCTGCATAACCCCTTGAAAGCTGTGTGGGCCTCTGGCCCCTTCTTCCAAAGGTCCTAAATCCTAAACACTCTGGTTCCACGAGAGTTCCATGACAGTTCCAGCTGAGTTCCACGCAGGCCCCGCTGGCCGGGCAGGGTGTGCCCATGGAACCATGGAGCCCTGGTGTCTGTGACATCGGGGACACGGCCCCGGGCACGGCCGTGGCGGGGCGGGCGCTGCAGTGCGGCTCAGGGCAGCGGTGAGGGCGGCAGGAGGGCACGGCCGGGCTGAGCGAGGGCCGGGCAGGAGCAGAGAGCCTGGGGAGCGCCCGGGGACGGGCACAGGCTGCAGGGCCGGGCAGAGGCTGCAGGGGCCGGGCAGAGGCTGCAGGGCCGGGCAGAGGCTGCAGGGGCTGGGCAGAGGCTGCAGGGCTGTGCAGAGGCTCCAGGGCCATGCAGAGGCTGCAGGGGCCATGCAGAGGCTGCAGGGGCTGTGCAGAGGCTGCAGGGGCTGGGCAGAGGCTGCAGGGGCTGGACAGAGGCTGCAGGGCTGTGCAGAGGCTGCAGGGCCGGGCAGAGGCTGCAGGGCTGTGGGGAGGCTGCAGGGCCATGCAGAGGCTGCAGGGCTGTGCAGAGGCTGCAGGGGCTGGGCAGAGGCTGCAGGGGCTGTGGGGAGGCTGCAGGGGCCATGCAGAGGCTGCAGGGGCTGTGCAGAGGCTGCAGGGCCATGCAGAGGCTGCAGGGGCTGTGGGGAGGCTGCAGGGGCTGTGGGGAGGCTGCAGGGGCCATGCAGAGGCTGCAGGGGCTGTGCAGAGGCTGCAGGGCCATGCAGAGGCTGCAGGGCCATGCAGAGGCTGCAGGGGCTGGGCAGAGGCTGCAGGGCCGGGCACAGGCTGCAGGAGCCATGCAGAGGCTGCAGGGCTCAGCAGAGGCTGCAGGGCCGGGCAGAGGCTGCAGGGGCTGTGGGGAGGCTGCAGGGGCCATGCAGAGGCTGCAGGGCCGGGCAGAGGCTGCAGGGGCCGGGCAGAGGCTGCAGGGCTGGGCAGAGGCTGCAGGGCTGGGCAGGGGCTTCAGGGGCCATGCAGAGGCTTCAGGGGCTGTGCAGAGGCTGCAGGGCCGGGCAGAGGCTGCAGGGGCTGTGGGGAGGCTGCAGGGGCCGGGCAGAGGCTGCAGGACTATGCAGAGGCTGCAGGGCTGTGCAGAGGCTGCAGGGGCTGTGGGGAGTGCCTGGGCAGGGACGGGGCCGCCCCTGGGCCCAGCGCCTGTCCCTGGGGCCAGCGCCTGTCCCTGGACCCCGTGTGTCCCGGCCCCGCTGCCCCAGCCGCCCTCTCCCTGCCACCCAGCCCCACTGAGCCCCTGCTCTCCTCCTGCTCCTCCAGGCCATGGCTGGCAAGATCGCCAAAATCCTGCTGGTCCTGGCCATCCTCCAGCACAGGCTGAGGGCAGATGTCCAGGCAGTGAAGGTCACGGAAAATGTTCTGACACAACACGAGGAACAGCGCAACCAGGAGATGACTTGGCTGGTGAGAAAGATTGTAAATTACTCAAGTGACTGGGCAGCTGGGAATAACTGGTTAGTCTGTGAACAGCAGGGCAGTGATCCTCTAGCATGGGCTCAGTTTAACTGTGCCTGCGTCCTGCTTGGGTGCCTCTGCCCAGGTGCTGTTTCCTGCCTGCTCCTCATCTCTGTTTTCCAGTTCAGAACAACTGGCCTTACTCTAAAGATTGAGGCAAAGAAGGCATTAAATATCTCAGTCTCTTCCTCAATCTATCTCACTATATTTCGCCTCTATCCAGTAAAGGATGGAGATTGTCCTTAGCCCTCCTTTTGTTGCCAATGAATTTACAGAAACATTTTTTATTCTCTTATGTAGCATTTAATATATAACCAGATTCAGTTCTAGTTGGGCTTTGGCCCTTCTGATTTTCTCCCTGCACATCTCCACAACAGCTGTGCAGTCCTCCCAAAAGGCTGACCCATCTTCCAAAGGTCATAAACACTGTTTCCTTCTGAATTCCATCTGTTTTTTATCCAAAGTCCAGCCTGGCTGGGCAGAGTGTCACTGTGGCACTCCAATGAGAGGGGACAGGTCCCCACATGCCCTGTGTGGCAGTGTCAGCGCTGCAGTGCGGCTTGAGGCAGCAGCGAGTGGGGCAGGCTGGGGGAAAGATGAGAGTCAGACAAGTAGCACAGTACCCAGAGGAACTTCTAAGGTTGTGAAGAGGGTGCAGGGGATGCGGGGAGTGTCTTGGGCAGGGCAGGTTCCACACTTGAGGAAAGCGCCCTCAGGGTTGAGGGGATGGCTGCCCCCATCCCTCAGCCCTACATTTCCTGCCCCAGCTGCCATCTCCCCATCACCCATCCCTGCTGAACTGCTTTCTCCCTCCTCCAGGCCAGAGCTGGAAGGATTTCCAAAATCCTGGTCCTGCTGGGCATCTTCCAATATGTAGTGAGGGTGAATCAACCAACAGTGAAAGTCACGGAAGAGCTGGTGAAGCAGCACGAGAAGGAGCGCATTGTGGAGATGGCCCGGCTGCTGTTGATGGAAAAGCAGCGTGGTCTCACCCCGGGAAGATTGCTCCTCCTGGCTTGTCAGGAGTGGTGGTTCTGGGTCGGCGCTGAAATCCTCCTCGTGCTCTTTGGGCTCTACTGGCTGCCCAGGCAGAGCAGCTCCGACTGTGATGATGGCAGCCAGCAGGAAACCTCCACCAGTGCCCAGGAGCAGATGAAGGAGGAGGAGAACATCTGTGAGGATAATCCTGACTCTTATGACGCGCCAGAGAAGCCCCCAGATAAGGTAGGGACCTCTGGCGCATTTGCCAAGCCCTTACCAAGAACAACTTTCTGAGGGCTGCATCCAGACATGAGAGCTGGCGGTGCCTACAAATACCTGAATGCCTGCAAGGACATGACTGACCCCTTGCTGCTCCAGCCCCTGAGACCACTCACTGTGCACTTTTTCCAACAGAGCTGGCCATGGTGGAGGATATTCTGGCGAGACACCCCTGTGGCCAAGGGGAACAGTGACCAGGAAATGTGCTGTGCTACCTCCCCTCATGGCTGAGGATGCAAACAAGAGCTCAGATCCCTGCTTCCTGTGCAGCCCCTGCAAATAGCCCCAGTTGTGATGCTCCCCCTGCCAGGAAGTGTGGAACCCTTTGTAAATATGTTCATAAAAGCATGTATTTCTTTTAGTAAATCTGTTTGAGCAAGAGAGTGTTGGGGAATTGATGCTTCTTGTCTCCTGAACTACAAAGTGGGTCACTTGTCATAAGGGAGATAGGTTGGTCAGATAGGACCTGTCTTCTACAAACCCATCCTGGTTGGGTCTGGTGCCCTGGCTGTCCTGTGTGAGCAACATGATGGCTCTCGAGCTGCTCCATGACCTGCCCTGGCACCAAATTCAGGCTGACAGGGCTGTATTTCTTCTCACTGTCCAGCTTTGAATATCAGAGACTCTTGAATGTCTTCCTCCTCCTCAGTCCAGCTCTGAACAGCGCCTACAGAGGTGCAGGGGGTTGCTCTGCACTGTATGCTGTGGCAGGTGGTTTCCATTTCCTACATCTCACATGGTTCTTTCAGTAAGGTATTTTGTTTTCTGTATATTGACAGAGGAGCTGGATTGCATACCCAACACCCAATTTATACTTCAGCTGGAGGGATGGGTACAGACCTTTATTTCAAAATAGGCAGTAGTGTTTTGGGGCTGAAAACCATATGGGCCGCCAAAGCCTAAAACTGTAAGGCTTTAAAAATATTCAGACACATTTTTATTGTTCAAATGTAACTACTAACAGCACCTTTCCAACTTCTTCCCTTGAAAAATTCTGTCCAGTCACCTTGCAGGGCCTCATTTTACACATCCAGTAGTGACTTTGAATATTTGTTTTGCACTACAAGCGCTTTTTTAAACAGGCAGTCTGTCTAAATGCAGTGTGTTTGATGTAAGGACAGGGGATGTATTTCATCAATCTGTTGCTCTTTTTCTCTCTTTATTCACTAAGCCAGAGGCCACATTAAGTAAATAATTTTTCTTGATTCATGGTCTCTGAACCCAACATTAGGTGTGGTTAACCCCCTACCAAACCTTTCCCTATGAGTAAAGGAGGGGAGATAAATACCACTTAGCTAATATGCTTTGTGATCTTGTCAATCTTTGTGACAAGATAACTAACACTGTGCTATTTTGCACATCTATATTATATATTACATGTCAAATAAAGATAAAATAGCTTGAAAAATCTAATTAGAATGTCCCAGCATCAGAAGATTCAGTATGAAGACTGAATGCTATCCTCTCAAGAGTACACTAGATTTTACTTGGCATCCCTATTCAAAATATGTTAAGTAACATCCAGTAGACCTCATCACACTGGCAATGAAAATAGGTGAAATTGTGCCACACCTGAGAGGCTTAGTGGATATAAAATCACAGTTTTTATCATACATACCATACATGCAGTCTTCTAATAATTCTTAAGAATCAGAGAATTAAAATTGTTAGAAAGATTAGACATTTTTTGTTGTTGTTTCAACTAATTTTAATTCACCGTATTATACAAAAGAGATTTGAGTGCCTTTATGTCATTAATTAAAAATGTTGGTAACTTCAGAGGGACCGAACTTCAGAAAGCTCTCTGCTTTGAAAGATTTTATCAGTGTAAAAACAAATCCTTTATAGTTAAAATGGAGAGCATAATGAAATCCAAAAGGATGTTGCCTTGCCTAAAGGCAATTATGGATGGTAATCTGTTGATTCTGTTGGTGCCAGTATTTCACTTGGGGATTCAATGATAGGGAATAGGTAGGAAATTGTTTGTTTTATCCCAGAGAAAGTTTTGAGATATTTATTTTTTCCTTGTGCAGTGTAGAGAAAGAAAACTGATATCCTGAAAGTTTTCAAGGACTGGTAATCTGAAAATTATGGATCATTTAATTTTCAAGTACCTTATTAAAGGAAATTAGTAGGAATTATTGATTAAAAGTATGGCAAACTGGAAAAGCTCCCAAAGTCCACATTTTAACTTTCTGTTTTTGAAAACCTGTGGAAGGGAGATCTCCTATTGAAAAAAGTGATTTGTAAAAAATCCTCAATCAACATTTCAGCTCACAAAATTTATCACAGAATGATTGTCATTAGAAGGGACCTTTGGGTCCAGTCCCCGTTTAAGAAAGACACTTAGAGGTGTTGTCCACAGGCATGTCCAGGTATTTTTTTTAGTTTCCCTAAAGGAGGGAGACTCCACCACCTCCTTGGGCAACCTGTGCCAGTTCCAAGTCACGTCCACAGTGAAAAGATATTTTCTGATCTTCAGAGAACCTCCTGTGTTTCAGTTTGTGGCCAATATCTCTGGTCCTGTTGTTGAGCACCACTGAGAAGAGCCTGGCTCTGTCCTCTTTGCACCCTCCCTTCAGGTATCTGTGCACATCAATGAGATCCCTCCTGAGCCTTTTCCTCTCTGGCTGAGCAGAGTCAAAAACCTGACTGAAGTCTAGACAGACAATATCCACTGTTCTACCCTCATCTACCAAGGCACCTAATTTTGATTTCTGAAAGCAGAGATAAGACAAGGGTGAAAGCATTACAAAGTCTGAAATTGCGTGATGAAAATTGAGAGATGTGTGGAAGGTATTTCTGAAGTCCAATAGTAGTTTTTAATATACTTCTATGCACAAAAGATATACTGTGTAAATATATATGTGAAGGTTATATGCTAATCTTGTCTTGTCTTAGCAATCTTATCTGAATATGAAATAAATCATTGAAAGCAGAGATCAATGAAATAAATTTCAGACTGACTAACACAACATGTTTTCGAGTGGTTCTTCATTGGGTTTCTGCTCCTTTTCAATCCTACCCTTTTCCTATCCTATTTAAGTCTTCAAATCAGTTATTCCAGTTATTCCATGTTGCAGCTGGACATCTGTAAAGCAGAGGTGATGCTCCTTCTATTGCCTGTTCCTGCTATTGGAACTCCATGTGGACTCCAAATCCTTCTGCTTCACTTCTGCAGGCTCCATGTTTGGTCCAAATGCATCTTCATCGAATGCCAGATCCCTGCCCCATGATCAGAAATGGGGAACTCCAAGATTTAAAAGGGTGGTTGAAGCAGAAAACTGAATTGAAATGAAACAGACAACAGACACAGTAGCTTCTGGGTATGCTTTGAGACCTTCTAGATCCTCAGTTTGCTGTTTCTGGAGTTGTGGGGGGTTCCCAGAAATCCTCTGAGGAATGTCAGGGTGGCAATTGCTCTGGGTGGGGGGAGCTAGAGGAATCATGGACTCCTGGCAAGCTCATGAGCTCTGCCAGCTGCTCCTGATAAAGGGATGCATTAAGGTTTTGGATTGAGCAGACTCCTGACAAAGCAGAGGAAAGAACCCTCTGAGCAGCTATGAAGGGAAAGCCTATGTAGAAGCCCACCTCAGGGCACATAACTCTGTCCATCATTGTCTTTCACTGAGCCAGTAATGGTCATTGCTTGTTATGTAAGCTGAAATATTTTTCCCCATTTTTTGCCTTCACAGTGACATATGAAAACTGCTTACAAAACAGGTCTTCTCATTATCATTGCAAAGAGATAACTTTGTTCTTTTTGTTAGTAAACATGCTTTGTATTTGTATTTTATATTAGTAATTACAAACTCCTCCATGTAAGAGTTCAACAGATTTAGTTTATTTGTCACAAAAATACTTCTTTCAGTGTTGTTCTGCACAACCCATTCAAGGAGTAGAGATGTTTAAAAGTGAGTGTGCTCTCTCCCATAAAAGCAAGTGTAATTTTTTTCTACACACCTTCCTAGCAGACCACTGCCCTCCACTCCTGCTGGATAATGCACTTATTTCTGCTGTTTCCATGTCCCCTGCCTGTGTTGTTCTTTTAAAGGGTTTCAGCAGCTGAGTTAAGGAGATCAGTCAGCAAGAAGCTCCCAAATTCATGGAGGAAAACTGACTATTAACCTACACCCCATGAAAATGTAGATGTTGATGCTTGATGTGCAGGTCTGCCTGTTGGTAACACAGAGGGTTTTATACCCAACACTGCCTGACATAGAAGCCCCTTTGTCCCTTCAAATATGTCTGTTTACATGGATCTAATTTGGTATGCCCTTCTCCCTTTCTGTTTAGATGCAGAACTCAACAGCAGATCAAACCCGAGAGAATGAAAACAGCCAAAGACCTTCCAGCCTGATATCACAGCTGCTGTAGTTGTAAGGAGTTCATTAATTTCTTTTTCTTTAATTAAATAATTTGTTTTTAATGGGGATCTAGCCATATCCAACCACTTGATCTCATGACAAATGAGAAGGAATCCCTTGCTTCTAAGTAACCTCAGCTTCTGTTACACCCTCAGGTTTCAAATATTCACCATCCAGCAGTTATGCCTCCCCTGGAAGGAAAGGGACTGGGGATCTCTGCACCCCAGCGCAAATTCTGCACAGGCTCCTCTTCCTGTCAGATTCCTCTTCCTGTTCTGGGTCCTAATCCCTACTCTGTAAACCACAGACTGCCTGTGACCATAATCTTCCAGACAGCTCTACCTGAGCAAGCTGAAAGCCAAAGAGTCTTGGTGAATTTCCATGGGTAAGGTCATTCTTGGAGATTGGGAAGAGCCAAGTGTAAAGTGAAAAATAACTTTGTCAATCACATAATTTGTTTGCCTAAATATAAATGTAAAGTCACTTCAGACACCCTCATGTCTGCAGATGTCTGCAGAGGGCTGGGAGAATGCTACAGGGCTTCTTCCAAGCCATCCCTGCTGGAGATACAGCTGATGGACTGATGATGTATCCAAACAGCAAATACAATCTCAGACACACTTACACAGCTGACTCCTTTACTCAGAAGCAAAGAGAAACCAGAGTAGGAGAAAAGCCTCAACTCTGATGGGCTAAGTAGCAGCAGCAAATCATTCCAGAGCATAGCAGAGGGTGGCTGCATCTGACAGGCTGGCAGGAGAAAAGGCTGAAGTGCTGCATCTTCCCAGACCTTGCTCATTTCCAGAAGGACAATAAAGTCTAATGTTCACTCCGATTGTCAGTCTGACCAATAAGCCTCCCTGTCACAGAAATAATGGTGATGAGAATAAAGTGCTGGTTTAGGTATATCAATCATTTTTAATAGGATTTGTCACACAAGTATTCACCAGTGAGAGCAGAGACTGGATTATATGTTCCTACATTTGTTCTTGTGCCCAGGTAGAGAAATGACTG